TCACTCTCATGGGGCTCCAAAATGAGGAACTGTCTTTTGCTGAAGGTTTCTCAATATCTTCACTGATAACAAGCAACTTATCAAACTGGCCTTTATGGACAACTTAAACTCTGCTTTCTGTACTAGTTCCTAGTTTACAGTAACTCGAGGGAGCTGAAATCAAACAGCTTTAAACACCTCTGTTGCTTAATACATTAAAGGGCCTTCTGTTGCTTGTTTCTGTGTATTTAATATTCAGCTTTAATTACATCCTTTCCAATATATGTCTCATCTCTTTGCAAAGATTGTAACTGCTGCCAATTGGATAAGCTTACCCTTGCAGCACTGGAACTGTAAAAAGTATGTAAACATTCCCTGTCACAATGGTATATAAGGTTTCTGAAGTGATGGAATATTTAAAACTGAATAAAAGGCTTTCAGCAATTGTCACAAAAGCTTTCGGAACACAGGAACTTTACATTTCTTGCATCATCTTTACAGTCACAATTTCCACTCCGACAATGCAGGCAGGTACTGAGGTATTCTGCAGACCCAAAATAACTTCCTTGAAACAATCTGAGTGTTTTCTTTCTGTGTAAGCTTGAGTGTTGGTTCTACCTTTCAATACTTTAGGCAGGTCACTTGAAAAGAGATCACTTAGTCTGAGGCAGGCTGGCAGCACCACTCAGGTGTGAGGCCAAGCACAACTTTCCAGCAGCAGTAGAGTTAAAATCAGATGATTTCTGTTCTTGTATCACAGCTGAAAAGCAAACACTTCCAGTGCAGCTACAAGTGACTCTAGAAAGTAAGTCACCCCGGACTGGTGTCCTGGACCAAATCTTTACACTTCATCTCCCCAGGGAAAAACCCACCATTTCCTTTGGCACTGTGAGAGGAAATGGCTGGGACTGAGGGAGAGCTGCTCTCCTGCTGGCCCTCCTGCCACAGAGGATGGCTGGGTTTTCCCACATTCACACCACCCAAAGGTGAAGGCAGAGCACAGGTTTGCAGACAAGCCCTGAAGAGCAGGCGCTGGCACTGCTGGGCCAGGCTGTACCAGCACAGGCAGGATGTGCCCCCCAGGCCTTGCCCACACCCACACAGGGCACAAACCACCAGGAGGGGAAAGCACAGTAACTTGGAATAGTTAAAACACACCCTCACTACCTGAAAATCCCACCCTGAGAGTCCCACCCTTCCCACCCCTCACCAAATCTGTCAGTATTGCACCTTCCACGATCCCCACCTGCTCACGTGTTTAATGCACTAATGAATACTTTTAAGTTCTCAGCCAGAATAAGGTTCTTCAAATATATTATGTAATTTGTATCACTGGACATGAAAATATGCAACTGAGTATCATCTTGGAGGAGTTGTGAACTATTTACCTTTTTATTCAGTCTACTGCATCCTTCTATTACAGTACACAGAGCTCTGCAATCAACACCTCTAGCAGCTGCTATTACAGTCTATCTTATTTAAGAAGGCATAATTTATCTTCCATTTTCTCTTCAATTACTTTTCCCCTACCCTTGAGTATTTTACTTACAGGCTCAGAGGGCACTTGGTGGCTGCAATATTTCCTTTGAGATAAGAAAGGCTGTTGTCTGCTGTGCACTCCAAGGAGCCATCGTGGGGCACTTCCAGGGGCAGCTACACCTGTATCCTTCAATACACAGTTTATTCTTATTGTAAGGTCTCATTTGCTTTCCACAAGCATAACTTAAGAGTTTACAGTGATGTTATAGGGCCCTCAACAGTTACAAATATATATTTTTATTACACTGTACCAAATCTGATCCATGCTCTTCTCTTAGGAGCATTAAGCCACATATATCAGCACTATCATGGCCATGCACTGAATTAATTGTTTTTCCACAGTTCCTCGCATTCTTTGAACACATTAAATCTGGGCAAACCATTTTACTACTGAGTTCTTCCAGGTTGTTGGTAAACATGGTGTCTCGAAGCCCTGCAACATACCCACTAAACTAAATTATGAGAGAAAAGTGAGTTAAATGAGGTCATTAAACTCTTCCCAGGGTGAAAGTTAGGGAAACAGGATCTCACAGGCCAAGACAGATGGATTTTTACCCATTATAAAAACTGAATCTGCAGGACAGCAACATGGAGCAAGCTACATAGGGTTGGGGGTTTGCCCTTATTAATTATGTCTACCTGTTTATTAGATACAAATACATAATCTATCTACTTATCTAATTGCCAGGACTTTTTTAAGTCACAGGGGCATTTGCAACCACTTCTTCCTCTGGGCCAGGAGCTGCTTTTGAAGACAGAGTGAGTATTTTTCATCTTCAATATCTGTTTAAGCTCCTTTGCTGAACACAAACTCAGGATATCACATATATTCCAGTGCTTTACAAGCAAATAGGAACACATTAAGATTTCCATGAAACGAGTATTAGCAAACTCTGTTTTCCAGATGGGTGAAGGCAGTTCTAAGGTACTTGCCCCAAGTCTCGTGGTGATGGAGAGTGAGAAGGTGTCACCTCCAGGCCTCTCTGCCTTCAGTGCAGGGTTGGGAATGAAGAAACAACCTGCATTGCAGTGCCACTGCCAGCACCTGGACACTGGGATGTCCTTGCTGTCAGGAGAGGGAAATCTCCATCCTTTCCCAACACAACAGAACAGGGAGCACTGCTGGGAGGGCAGCCCATGAGTTACAGCCCAAGCTCTCAGGCTCCCACCCATGGCAGCTGCTGCTCTGTATCCTGAGGGTCTTCCAGACTGAATTTTGGGGTTTTTTTTGCACAAATCCAGTGTTCCTGCAGCATATGTTTGTAAGTCACACTCCTCATGATCAGCTGGAGGGCTGTGCCCACACTGCAGGCACAGGACACTGAGGGCCCTGCTCCCACTGCCTGCTCCCAGCACTGGGGACACAACAGCTGTCAGAAACCCTGGAATAGCAGGAACAGCCCAAGAGACACAGTGTGGCCAGCACACGATGGGTAACAAGAGCCTGTCTCGGTGCTGTGCTGGGACTGTGGCCACAGCCCAGGCCCCTCTGTGACCACCCAACAATTACCTCAGGAGCTGCACAGGCTTAACACCAGAAATATTTGCCTTGTTCTTCCAGTCAAGTACAAAATGCAGAGTCAGCAGCTTGAAAGGATCCCTGAGAACACATGGCAGCCAGGAGAACACGACAGAACAGCGCAAGGAGGATCCACTACAGTTTTTGTGTCTTTAATCAACTCCTCACAGTCACAAGTGTCCAAACACAGACCTGTAACACATAATTCTCAGGACAGCACCTACTGCACTTTGAAAGAGTTTCTATTAACTTGATTACTATGAATTATGTGCACTGTGATGGTTATCCTTAAAATCTGAAAGTGGTCATGGACAGAGAGTTATCTGTAAAAAAAGAATTCCAAAAGATTTCTGTTACATCTCCAACAGTCACCTTCTGGTGAGCTTGGCAGTCAAACTCTGGAGGGAGCAATTTGAAAACAAAGCACTACAGGGGCACCTGTGAGACCCTACATGGACTGAAGAAAATAGGACAATGAAAGTGGCTGGACAGAAGTGACTCTAATTGACTCTATATGTTGAAGTTCATTAGAGGATGGCAGCAGAGAACAAAACCCATTTCAAACCTAGTTCCAGCATTGCTGCTTAAGGTACAATGATAAATGCAAAGAGAGGGTGTAACTACTCAGAGCAGGCGTGGAGCAAATTCAAAAAGGGTATAAAAATACACCGACTGCTTGGAGCACACACGTCCTGACACGGTTTTGGTGGAAGAGGGAGACACCAGGAGCGAAAAAGGCTTTTAAAGCAGCCGATTTCCCTCCGGTAACTCCAGCCAGGGCCCAGTGAGTGCCGAGGGGAGGGAGCGGGGCCAGCCCCGGACACACGAACCCGCCAGGGGGGAGCGCGGCAGGAAAAGCGCCCGAACGGCGGCACCGGGACACCTGGTCCGGCCCCGAAGGGTGCGGGCGGCTGTCCCGGCCACGACGGCCCCGGCCCCTCGGGGCTGTCCCTGTCCCTGTCCCGGCCCGCCCCGCGGGCACAGGCCCTGCGCGGACTGTCCGCTCCCAGCCGGGGGCCGGGACACACGTCCCGCAGGGCCCAGCCAGCCACGCTCGCCCTCCCGGCCCGGTCCGGGGCCGCTCTCCCCGCTCGGCCCCGAGATGGCCCGGCCGGGCCCGCGGGACCCGCGCACGGAGCGGCTCCGGCTCCGGCTCCACCCCCGCCCCGCCGGGCCCCGCTCGGGGCCGCGCCATCGCCCCCTCCCCGCGGCCGCCGCCCCTCCGGGCACCCCTCGCGCTCCCCCGCCCCGGCTCGGCCCCGCGGGAGCCTCGCCCGGCCCGTCCCTCCCCGGCGCCGCCGCCCGGCCCGGCCCGGCCCCGCTCACCCGCGCCCGTGGTCGCCGCCATCTTGCGCCGCCGCCGCCGGCCCCGCCCCCGCGTGACGTCACCGTAACGCGGGAACTGCGGCGCCGGCAGGCGCGGCGCGGGCGGGCGCACTAAGGGGAGCCCGCGGCGCGACGTCTGCGCGGGCAGTTAGTTCTGTGGTGCACGCACAGCGCTTCGGAGCTGTATGACGCGGGCGGGCGCCTCGGTGATTATCGCCCCCCTGCCCCGCCCCGGAACACCCACCCCGGGGTGCACAAATACCAGCGCGGTACCAGGCACTTAACACCCGTAACACTCCAGCACAGCTTCCCCCAGCCCGCTCCACTTAGTACATAACATGAAAAAAAAAAATTAAAAGTAGAAAGGAGATGAATTCTGCTTTGCGTTGCAACACGTCTTTCCAAAAACTGTGCCCCAAGACTTCGTGTGAGAATTTGCAGAAACAATTACGAAGCAAAACGTGTTGGAGGACCCATCGCAGTTTAAGCCGTTTCCTGCAGCGAACCTTGCCAGACTCAGCCTGGAGCAGCAGCGAGAGCCGAGGAGCTGCTCCCGTCCATTGTTCCGTGAAGCTGCTTTAGAACGGCAGCGTTGGCCTCGCTGCCTGGATTGCATTTCATCGAATAACATTTCATTTTACCCACGGCTGAGCGCGGCGCTGGCCGAGGGCAGCAGGAAGGCAGCAGGAGGGCAGCTAGATGGCATGAGAGCCCAGAGCTGGGTGGGGACAGGGGAGCCCAGAGCTGGATGGGGACAGGGGAGCCCAGCTGAGCTGGATGAGGACAGGGGAGCCCAGAGCTGGATGGGGACAGGGGAGCCCAGCTGA